CAACACCACTCACAATGGATCTTGAATGTTCCAACTGTAAACAGACATATCTAAGTTGACTCAAAACAAAGGTGTTGTAGGGTTACGAGATATTAATGTAGTCTAGCACTCAGGATGGAAGGAAACTCTAATGTGGTTTTCTTGTATAATATAAGTTATATGATAGACAGTCTGGTGCTGGAGATGCCGTGTGGTGAGGAGCTGGTCAATAGAGACGTTCGGTGAGTAGCTTGTTGAAAGAGGTAGATGTGCAGGAGCTTCGTTAGAGAAGATGTTGCCTGTTGCTGGCCTTCCTGGTTGAATGAATGCTGGACAGCTAGGAGCTTGCTGGAGGAGGTGTTGCGTGTTCAGGAAGATGGGCCAGAATGAGAGTTGGTTGGTGAGGAAGCTCAGGGAAGGACAGCTGGTGGGTCGCCATGCTCGCCGGCGGGAGCGAGGACCGCCAGGCAGACGAGGAGGTGCGAGGGGCAGCCAGGCAGCGGCGGAGGAGGTGTTGCTTGTTCAGGAAGAATGGTCAGAATGAATCTCAATGGAGAGACAGAGCTTATATACCCAGCAGCCGCTATGAGTTATGGTGGGAAAACCCGAGAAGTCGCCGGTGAACAGTTTCGTTGGTAAGCAACGGCACGTTGGAATGTGATAGCAGGTGGTGGGCTGCTACGCAGTTTGTAGGGGAGACGTCCACTACAGTGTTCTCTCTCACATTCAAATTCATTATATAGAGAGGTTGGTTTCAGTAAGTCAGAGAAAATGGGATAACGGAGGACTGAGGCGTCTTGAAGTGATGAGAAAACGGACTCCTCAGATGGAGGACTCAAAATAAAAGCAGAGGTACATGTTTTGTGGGCTATTGAGCGTAATATGAATCATTTGATTTTGGCGTTAACTGAAGTGTACGACCGTGGTCGTTACACCGACACATTACAGAGGGGAGCAAACACTCAAGCCACTAGACCTCATCATAGCAAACGAGGAGGTTATGGTGGCAAAACTGGAACACCTTGCCCCAGTTGGCACCAGTCACCATATAGAGTTGTCATTCATATTTACCTGTTACCTAGTTCAAGATAAGGCCAGGCCAAGGTGCAAATATTACAAGGGAAATTACAACAGGATGAGGGAAGAGACGAGGGGTATCCACTGGCCTGACTCATTAAGGCACAAGAATGCAGACACTACGCTGAATATCATAACTAGTAAAGTGACCCATTTGATCGCTAAATATATACCCAACCCAGTGACTCTAGGAATACGAGGGGGATCCCTACACATGAACCATGCAGCGGTCGACTAAGTTAAGAAGAAAACCCAGAAATTCAAGACGTGGGTTCGATCAAATGATGAGCAGGACAGGAGGATGTATGCAAGAGCCAGAAACCAAGCAAAGATAGAGTGTAGAAGGGCTGTAAAGGAGTTCCAGAGGCTGGTTGCAAACGAGATCAAGTCAAACTCAAAGGCATTTTACTGCTATGCAAAGTCGAAATTAAAAATGCGAGTAGGAATATCAAACCTGAGGCTTGAAGATGGTAGTTACGCAGATACTGACCAGGATAAAGCTGAGGCATTGAACATCTTTTCCTCGGTGTTCACAAGAGAGGATGCGATTAACCTTCCTGCGTTTGAGGACAGACGGTTCGACACAGCACTGACCCACATTGTGTTCACAGAAGAGAGTATTAAAAATTTACTGTCAAAGCTAAAGGTCCATAAGAGTCCCGGCCCTGACATGGTGTATCCTAGAGTGCTAAGAGAGTTGAGCAACGAGCTTGCCGAACCCCTGAAGATCCTGTTTTGTAAATGCCTGGACGAACAAAAGGTCCCCAGTGATTGGAAAGTAGCTTATGTGACTCCTATCTTCAAGAACGGTGATCGTCACTCCACGACTATAGACCAGTGAGCCTGACCAGCATAATATACAAAGTACTTGAGAGTATTATCAGAGATGCCGCGATGGAACTTCCGGTTTTATGCCGGGGCGCTCCTGCTTAACGAAATTGCTCAAGGTATTGGATATTTGGACCCATATTCGGGAATGGGGTGGTAATATCGCCAATACTTACCTAGATTATGCCATGGCTTTCGACAGTGTACCCCACGAAAGGCTGAAAATCAAACTGGAAGGGTATGGAATTCAGGGAAATGTCCTAGCGTGGATAGAAGACTTTCTACATGACAGCAAGCAGTGTGTGGTGATTAATGGCATGAAATCATCATCCGTACCTGTCACAAGCGGGGTACCACAGGACAGTGTATTGGGCCCGCTGTTGTTTGTTTGTTTCATAAATGACATGCCTGACGTACACTCCTTCATACAAATTTTTGCCGATGACGTCAAGTAATTTCGGGAAATCAAGAACCAAGCGGACTGTGAAGAGATGCAGAAGGACCTCTGTGGGCTCCAAGAATGGTCGAAGAAATGGCTGCTGAGATTCAATGTCACGAAGTGTAAGAGGATGCACCTGGGGCGTACCAACGGTAAGGAGGCTTATCATATGTCCTGAGGATGCACCTGGGGCGTACCAACGGTAAGGAGGCATATCATATGTCCCGAGGATGCACCTGGGGCGTACCAACGGTAAGGAGGCATATCATATGTCCCGAGGATGCACCTGGGGCGTACCAATGGTAAGGGGGCATATCATATGTCCCGAGGATGCACCTGGGACGTACCAACGGTAAGGAGGCATATCATATGTCTCGAGGATGCACCTGGGGCATACCAACGGTAAGGAGGCATATCATATGTCCCAACTCTATGTTTGTCTTTGGTACCCCCAAAATGTTCTACACTACTGAGGGTATACACAAACACTTATCATCTTGAAAATAGGTTCTTATTCTCGTATGGGAGATGAATACAGAGGAACAAAGAAACTGGCTTCCACACCATAAGGACTAGTGATCTCAACTCCCTGTATCACTCCGCGCTGGCATGTACAGATGCCAGCATTCACAAGCTGAATACATAAAATGTAAATATGACAATTCACATACATAACATGGTGCATAATAAATGGAAATATTACATAGGATTAATACATGTTCTGTAATACTTTACTAAACATAATTAATAGAGTAATACAGTGACCCCTCTGTTAACGAACTCAATCCGTTCCAGAAGGTCGTTCGTTAACCGAAACCATTGTTTCAATGGGTTTTTGGGTAATTGGTTCCAGCTCACCGAAAATTTCCTAAATTCAACAAAAATGGTAGAAAAGTTCACTTACTTTGAGGTGTGTATGTAGAAGGCTCCTGGATGATGATGATGATGATGGGATTTAGAATGGGGGTGGAGGAGAAGGAAGAAGAGAAGGCATTGGGGTGGAAGAGAAGTCACCCCATGGCGCCATTTCACCCATAAAATTTTAGCTCTCTTGGTGTACAGTGAGTTCTGCTATAGCGCGTTTTGATAACGCGAATTTGCTCTAACGCGATTTATGAATTAGGAACGATATTTGTATAACGCAAACGCTTGTTTGCTATAACGCGATTTTTGCTTACTATTTCTCCAATTTTGTGAATATAGTAAAGAAGAATATCAACTAGAAGCGTTCTGGTGATAGAATTCCCGGTGATGATCGTAAAAGAAAGGATATAACACTTGAAGAGAAGCTCGATTTTATCAACCTCAAAATCACCCTTCTCCCCCATCAAGTAAAGTGTTACATTTACTGTATGATTTCATTATTAGATATGAATGTAACATTTATTTAGACTGTGCTATCCTTTTTGTTAGGCTAACTACTAAATTTTTTCGATTTCGAGTAATCTGCACCTAACCCTATTTTCTCCATAAGCCCTGTTATTTCTATTACGCGATTTTCTATAACACGATATTTTACAAGAACACAATTATCGCGTTACAGCAGAACTACCTGTAATTCAAGAATATTTTCTTCAAATCAACACTGCACTGCATTATATATTGTCAATATGTAAAATATATTTCAAAATGACCAATAATTTGCTTGGAAACACAGAAAAAAGCGTTTAGTTGAAGAGAGTCTCAAGCAAGATGTTACCTCCAGTGAAAACAGAGAGAGACTAACTCCTGTTTGCTGTGTTAAGAGGCTGGATGCCGCGCATTAAACTAGTCACTTTACCTTCAATTATGTTCAATAATTGTTAAAATGACTAAAAAATTGAATATTAAACTTTTAAAATTATTGAATAGTATAAACTTCTTGATATTTACTAAAATAGTAAGGAATTTAAGCCTAGAACCGATTAATGTATTGGCGGACTGATACTAAAGCTGGTTGCCCGGTCAGTGCAAGCGAAAACATGTTGAGGTCGGTTCGTAAGAACTTCGTTAACCGAATTTTTTTTCGTTAACCGAATTGAAGATCCTTGTGGAAGGCAGTTCGTTAATCGAAATTACGTTAACCGAGGTGTTCGTTAAACGAGGGGTCACTGTATAAGAATACACAGCTTTAGGTACTACTTCGTGTCCATATTATACACCAACAGGATGAAGAAACTGCACTATTTGAGACTGTGTGTGAGAAGGACCTAGGTGTGTATGTTGACAATGAGCTGAAGTTCTCGGGCCATTGCAAGAAGAAAGTAAATCAGGGAAATAAATTATTGGGTCTTATAAGAAGGTCGTTCAGATATCTAGACGGTCCGTCCCTCGTAACGATCTTCAAGAGTGAAGTGCTTCCCCATCTGGAGTACTGTCACCCCGTCTGGTCCCCGAGATATGCTAGGGACTGTCAGTTGGTTGAAAATTTTCAAAGGAAGGCCACCAGAGAGGTGCCTAGCTTATACTACAGACAGGCAAGGGGGGACCTAGTTGGGGTGTATAAGCATCTCAGGGGGCACTACTCAGTCGAGTGTCCTTACTTGGAGCTAGCGGATGCTCGCCCCACAAGGGGTCACAGCTCAAGATTGAAGAAGCCGCAAGTCCAGAAAACTGTGAGGGCAAACTTTTTCGGAGTGAGAGTTGTGAACTCTTGGAAAATTCTACCAGAAAGTGTTTTGACGGCATCGTGTGTGAGCTCTTTCAAGACAAGACATGACCAACACTGGAGCGGGTTCAGGTACATTCAGGAGCCGGTGCATGTCCAGTACGTACTTGCCAACAGTGCGTAACAGAGATGTGACCAATCGCGCAAGCGCCTAACGCGCCGATCTTTTGGTGAAGAGGATAAAAAAAAGGAAAAGTAATCAGAGACGTGACCGATCGCCCAAGCGGCTAACGAGCCAATCAATGGTGAAGAGGATAAAAGTAAAAGTAAGGTATAACAAGCCTTGTAGTTACTGAGATGAAAAATACCTTTGGAACTGTCCGAGAAGAATTTTTATTCCCAAGTCTAAGAAGAGGAGTCTAATGAAGCTAAGCACACAGGTGGATAGGTTAGGTTTAGGGTTGGGTTGGTTTAGGTTTAGGGTTAGGTTAGTTTTGGATGATTCTGATCTTCATTTCTATCGCAAATTACTACTTTTTGTTATTTTCCCCCATCCAAAACCCCTGGTTCCCACTGGGGTCCCCCATTATCGTTGGATAAAGTACAGTAGTTAAAAAAGTAGTGATTTGCGGTAGAAATGAATACCAAAATCATGAAAAACACACCAAAACCATCGGAAAAAAAAAATCAACTTTCAACAAGAACTTAGAAAAAATAAGATGATTTTCCAACAATTTACTGCGATTTTCTTGGAAAGCAATCATGAACGGAAGAAATGTTATAGAAGAAAAATGTCTTATAATTGTCTAAACTACCGATTCCGCGAATGACTGTAGACCAGCGAGCCTGACCAGCATAGTATGTAAAGTACTTGAGAGCATTATAGATGCCATGATGGAACATCTACAAAACGACATTGTAAAGGATTGCCAGCAGTGTGTGGTGTAAGGTGTGTCAATTTCAGGAGTCGAAGTGCAACTTTAGTTATTTTTCTAACGGTGGGTTATCAAATGATGTATTTTTAAGAGTAAATTTCAGGAATAACCTTGATTTTTAGATTGGAGGTGTCCTACCTACATCAATTTTGGGTTTTAGGCCCAAAATGCCTAATTTTCCTGCTGCTATCTATCGCCATTGTACTGAAACGAGACACTGGAAAATCGTATTTGCAGTTTTATTTAGTAATGTTTGACAATAGGTATCGAGGTTTTTTACTTTCCTCCTTGTAGTAATGATGCGAGCAAGAACACATCAGCTGCTTGCTTTTTGCAAGAAAATACCAGCACTGGAGCAAAGAACAATGGAATTCTGTGATGTGGTCCAATGAAAACACTTTTTGCGTCCTTACTGCAGGGAAACGGACAATCAGAAGGCCCACCAACACCAGCCGGGATGATCCTCGTTACACCATTAAAACCGTGAAACAATACTGCAAGTGTGATGGTGTGGGGAGCGTTCAGTGGAAAACGTGGTCGTGCTGGCCTCCATTTCCTCCCCCAAAACATGACAATGTACTCTGATCGCTACAAGACTGTCTTGGAAAAACATTTAATGGATTATTATCGACTTCACCAGTCCACATTCTTCATGCAAGATGATGCCCCCTGTTACAGGTCAAAATGTGACAACTTAGCTTCATGAAAGGGCTATTCCATTGCTGGAGTGGCTTGGGAAGTCACCAGATTTAAACCCCATCAAGAATGTATGGCACGAGATGAAGCGGAAGCTGTCAACACAGGAGGAAATCGAGCGCCTGTGGGAGATTGAGATGGATGGAGAGTATTTTCAAATATCAGCAGAATCCATGCCAAGAAGACTTCAACTGGTAATAAAATGAGGGAAATATGAATTAGTACTAGATAGTAGTAGAATAAAACATTTTTTCTGTAAACGTGTTTTATTCATTCTTGAAAATAAGTTTTTGTATGAATATCATGTGAAAAATTAAAGGCTGTTAATATTTTTTGCAGTAATTGTACTTGTGTACTGCCTACAAGTCACTTTGGTTTGACTCAAGTTACAAAGATTTTGACGGTATACTATCTATGTATTAAATAAGGCATAGTCTTTGGTGAAACATACATTGGTATTTTGTATGGTGTACCAAGTCCTTCAACTTGATGTTATATGTCTGATTGTCCTCAATAATTTTATATTACCTGTACTATGTATTTTGGTGATCTGTTGGTGGAATATCTGCAAGTCTGTTGAAGTAAACTGATGGAAATGTCGATTTATGAGAGGGTGTCAAAGGTTATGACAGGGTTATAATGCAAAATATTTCTATACAGTATATTATGAATTTCTGTGAAAGTAAAGTACAGTACAAAAAATGGTTTATTAGTATTGTATGTACATTTAAAACTATTTATTTTTGCACAGTACAATAGTGACAAAATAGACCCAGAGCAGAAACATCACAGCATTTATCCAAGCAGTCTTCCCACCCAGCATGTGAGGGTGGCTAAGCATGATAAAATCTTTCATAACATTTGTCCCCAGGCCCAGAGCAGAAAGGTTTGGAAATATTTTCTCACCATTTTCTCATAATTTTCGGTAATTGCACATTCTTTCATAATCGAAATTTGCTCTCAGACCCAGAAATAAAAAATTGGACTGATTTTCCTGAATTTTTTTTAAATTTCAGAAAATACTCCCAATTGTCTCTGACTTTGTGTTTTTTTTTTTTATTTCCTACTTAGTGTGTTACTCAATCATGCCTAAATGCCCAAGAGATAGTTCCTCTTGTGCTGGGCAGCTTGATGTGATAAGGCATAATAAAGCATAATAAGAGTGGCAATGGACCAGCAAAGAGTGATAGAGACTTTAACTTCCCACCCTAGACCACCTCTATCACTCTCAACACAGGTATATAACAATCTCAAATTTTCCTTTACATTGCTTATTTAAATCTTATTATGCTTGCTTTAGTTTCTTGTTTGACATTTTGCATTACAAAGATATATCAGGGTAGATGGGAGTTTTTGTGAGGTGGGCATCCCTAACGCCCTGAATTTGTTATGTTCTCATGGGCTTAATTGCTTCGATAACTGTTGATTCACTATCCAACGACTTTTCCCGGTCCTTATATGCGTTGGTCATCAGGGTACACCTGTGCAATATATTGCAACATTGTGTAATTTTGTATCTTGTGGAAAAAGGATGTAAAAAAAAATAATTAACAGAATATATACAGCTCCTCCCCGACTTACGACCACCCGCACTTACGACCTGCCTCAGTTGTACCAAAATTTTGTCAAATTACATATTTTCGAGTCCCAACGTCAGTACACAAACAAATTTTCGTTTGTAATTCACTTTAAAATGGCTAGCAAGCTTAAAAGTGAGAGTTTTGAGGTGCTGAGAAGAAAAAGAGACATTCTATGTATTATTTAAGTATTTTCGACTTACGACCTGGATTTGGGTCCCTAACCCCGTCGTAAGTCGGGGAGGAGCTGTTTTCCCCCCCACAGTCTGAGTCTACTGACCTTAAGAAGCATTAACTTGGGGGTTTTGTCTGGCACCCAATACATTTGACAGTTGTGCCATTTTTCAGAGTTTTCTTTACAAATTCATCCGGTGAACCATTCTAATACTATTCAATATATTATCTGAAGTGCTGGGATTATCCTGAAGTAGCAGCTGCAATGACAAGAACCTGACAAACCATATACACTATACAGTGCATACTAAAATATAATTTTGTTTATCAAGGCACTCCCTACAAAAATTTTAATATTTACTGATGAGGAAGCAAAGGTGTCACGGGTAAGTGTCTGCTTAGCTCACAGTGTTTTTTGGGCGAGGTAAGACCAAAAGATGTTTAAACCATTCACTGCAGCTATGTCACATTAGGGGGCAGGGAAAAAACACTTTTATTTGAGTTGCAGGCTGCACTTTTCAGGCATCGTTTGTATGGCTGTAACAAACACCTGTGCAAAATTTCATGCCATTTCATGCATACTTACCCTGCCGCATCGCGAACGACTTTTTGTCAACTTTTAGTGTATACCAAAAATTATGTGTCATTTAATGTTTTCCAGGATAATGATAAATTTTACATGGGTGACATCGATTTAATTCACATGTTATTTTACAGGTACACCGTATAGAAAATCACTACAAGTTCATATTGAAATTCTTTTTTGTCCGGAACCTTGGCATCATTTTCCTAGACAATAATCTTTGCCTAATATATCCATCTCTCGATTCGTATCCCGTCACTTCAGTGCAAGCTTCAGTCATCACTTTTATGCCTCTCTCGACCGCCTGAGTGCTGTTTGGCCACTTGGGCACCACTAATGGTGTCTCAAGAATGTCATTAACCTGTAGATTTGACAGAGAAGCAATGTAAGGAGGCTCAGTCTTGAGTTCATTCCTCCAGTTAATCATGGAATGATAGTTTTTTGCTTGCCACTTTAGTTTCGGAGTCACCACCTTTCTCATGTTGACTACAGGAGGCACATCCTCATTCCCATCTCCATCTTTACCCTCCTCATCAGTATAGTTTAACAAATTCTCGTCAACAGCAGCATCAGAATCTTCCTCCTCCTCTTCAGATCTGCCAGTGCATTCTTCCTTTTGCTGATTCTCCTCTCTAATTTTTCTTATCATTGAGACAGCTTTTTCTCTAACAGTCATGTCCTCATCTGCACACATACCAAGAAGAAGTTGATCTGTGTGGGCGAAGTATGCATTTCTCTGGACAGCCTTCTTCACTATCGTCTCCTCCTCACTATTCAGGTGTTTCATATATAGCAGGGACTGGAATACGTTCCTTGAGCCGTGTGTTACGTAAGGGTGTATCTTGATGTAAAACCACATTGGAGCACTGAACTTTATTATTGTAATGACAATTCTTTTCAACTCATGGCTGGGTCTTGATGTTGCTACATACAGCCTGAGGATTCTACTCCATAAGGTGTTCCACCTTGACACACAGGGAGGACCTGGCTCAATAGCAGCCAAGTCATCTTCAACAACACCTGTGATAACTCCTTTACAAATCCTATACAGGTATTTCTGATCCCAGGACAGATCTTTCTCCACTTCATCATTAAACACAGGGAAATCAGGGAAACTGACTGGCTGGAAGGCGACAACTGGAAGCTCAGACAAAGACTCCTTGATCTGCTTTCCAATGGGACCACTCCAATGCTCAGGACCACTTGGTTTACCATCATAGTGATAAAAAACTGCGGTGTGAACTGCTTAACGGTAACTATTTGAATAATTTCAAGTGCGCCAACTTACCCAGGTCTCCCCTACATTACAGTACAGTAACACAACATTGAGAAATGAAATGAGAAAAGGCTGATAATCAATATAGACATAGCACCATACTCATCTGCAACAAGACAACTTAAATGAAATAAGAGATATGAAAAAAAAGTTGATAAACACTGAACAGAACATTGCACCACCACAGCGGCTGTTTGGCTAGTACTGTAGGTAAATTTAAAAATTTCAGTAGAAAATGCGGCAGACTAAACCTCGACATATCAGCTTCAAATTTGGCATGGAGTCTTAGATATGTATAAGGAACAATGCCTGAAGAGTGCAGCTTTGAGCAAAATTTCACTGCCCCCTAATGTCACATATGATATACTGCTCATTAAGCATTCTCTGTGACCATGTCATTTTGATGTGCAATATTTGAAATGTCCCATGAATTTATAATGTTTTTCACAACATCATAAATGTTGTATGACTTCCAAAACTCTTACCATCTGTTTCTGCCACACCAGCTGCTTCACCTTGCACTTTAATATTCTGTAAATTTGCCCTTAACTTACACCGATTAAACCAGCCCCTATTAGCGACAAAATCTTCCCCAGCACTTTCACTACCACGTTAAGCCTTCAAGTCAGCGTGCAAGCTTCTCGCTGTTTCCTGAATCACGTCTAGGCTTAGAGGCATATGCCGCCAATTTTTATTTTCCACCCATATCACTAACAATCTTTCTATTTCAATTATCAATCCACTTCTTTGTTTTGTTATCACAGTTGACTGCACTGGTGTAGATCCTTTTACATGTTCATGAATTTTGTCTGTCTTTCAAAATTGTTCCGATTGCTGACCGACTGAAGCCCCAAACTACCAATGACTGACAGTGTTTCACCTCTATCATAACGTTTAATTACATCAACTTTCACTTCCATTGTAATTGTTTTCCTTTTCTTGGATGCACTACTATCACTTACATCAAATTTGCATTTGGGAGCCATGATGAGAGCACAAAAAAAAGTAAGAAAAAAAAAAGAAAAAAGAAAAAAAAGAGCACTTGGTCACACATTACTGAGATGAGTGTAAGGCATATTGACACTACCACAAGGCGCATGACTGGGTGACACTCAGCTCCTCACCCACTGCTCTGCCCTGCCACTCCGCCACACATACTAGTTCTCGTACATTACTTTGAACGGTTGTACTTATGCAGGCTTCTTAAAATTTACATTTACTTTATGGAGACCTCATTCGTATCGGAGGATGTTCGTAAGTTGGACGTACGTAACCCGAGGACCTCCTGTATATTGTTATATATATTCTGTTTTCTGCCTTACAATATACAGTAGGTGTCTATGTTCCCTGATACAGTCTAGGTCATATACAATACATTATAAGTTTTTATTATATAATGACATTCAAGATGGCAATTTATCCTTATACAGTATAGTCTGCATTTACGCGGTTTTTGTTTATGCGTTTGGTCATTTACGCGGTGCCTTGCCGGAATGAAAATGCTTTAATTATGCGGTAAATTTGGTCATTTACGCGGCGAGCGACTGGAGAGGTCCAGACCGCCGCGCCATTTTTTACCCACGCGGTCCATTCTTGACCATATGCGGGAAGCGGCGCGGTGAGGGGTGTGCATTAGGCCGCTCTTATGTTATCGCTGATGTCATATGACGTATCGGACTGTGATTTGGCCACACATCCTTACCACCCACGCATTCCCTCCGCCGCTAGCTGTGATTGGTCTAATGTAACATGACGTGCCCTGCCACCAGAGGGTAGAAGTCGCTGACCTAGCAGGGCCTGTCTCATTATTCTCAGTCCGTGTATACAGTTCTCTCTTGTGCCCGCTATTCCCCTCACAACTCACAATGGCTTCCGAGGGACCCCCACCACCAAAGAAAAACATTGAATTACCTGGACCAAGCCATGATAATGTGAAGGAAATCATCGAGTTGAGGGAGAAAATTAAGCTCATCCTTGACAACGACCCAGACAAGCATCGGTATGAAGCGTCTAATAACCATCTGACGAAAATTATGGAGCCATATATCCAGATCTATCTCGACAACATCAATGATTGTCGTCAACGTAGTATTGAGGACTTCCTTGCCCACAACCAACCACAGCCAGCCCAAGTCAGTGATAGTGATATTGACAGTGAGGATATGGACTTTGAGGGGTTTGTCTGGGAGGCCCTGCAAACCTCTGCGAGTAGTGAAAGTGAAAGTGATTCACCGGAGGGCAACTAATCTGCCCTCTGCCTAGGAACCAGTCGCCATCCACGTGTGCCGACCCAGCTTTTCTACTAACGTAAGTGTTAAAAAACCTAATATTATTGATATTTCTCTTAATTATTAATTGTGTATGCATACCATCATAAAATTAAGATGTTATTTTTACTACAACGTACGTATTGTGTCGGAAAAAGTGGAGTTTGGGGGTCGGCCCAGTCTCTATTTCAATTAATTCCATATGTTCTGTTATTTCATTTACGCGTTTCTCGTTTTACGCGGGCCTCCACGGGTTCAATTGACCGCGTAAATGCAGACTATACTGTATTCATCAACATGAAAATAACAATTCTTAATAATATCTTTTACAAAAATTATAAAAGATCTAATGTATGAACTACAAAAATAATTGGGTTTGACCAACTAGGAAAAATTTGGTTTAATAAAGAGGATTTGCAGGTCCATGACATTAGTACCAGTATGACCAGGCTTAAGAAGATACTGGCTGGAACTTAGACTAGTGAAGTAAGAATAAGAGTCATTTGCACCTAGGAAGTTTTCTGGACTGAGGCCTTGCTGTCTAGCCTCCTGTAGTTGGGATCTGCAGATAATAAAAAAAATATTAATAAATTGCCTGTGAGGCTCAACATAAGTAGTGTTTATTTATTCAATGATAAGCCTAGTCAGTAAACGTACTGGCAATGTCCTTCCTACATTACAACCAATAACAAGGTTTAAGTAAAAGTTTCATCAGTGGAGAAATGGTAAAGATAGGATTATGAAAATAATGTTAATTGGTTGATACAGGAAGTATTGTAAGTTAATTATAGTCCAATAAAAAAAAAAAAAAACAGTGCACTTTTCCTTCCCTACAAGCAGTAACTTTCGCCAAGTGTGTGCACATTCCCAGGTGTAAGAGAACCATGCACCTTCCCAACTCCAGTCCTAGTCTATATACTGTAGTATACTGTACTAGTATTACTGTATAATATTTTGTTTTGTTAGTGTACCCTTTTTTATGTATTTCTTTTTCTTTTATTGTAATAATTTAAATAATGATATAAAACCAGCAAAGGCATCATTAATTCTCCAAGATGGTATTTTAACTTGTCAACCAATGTTAAATTTGGTCAATGTTACATCCCTATCAGGTTTACTGTATACTTTAATGATTATTATTCCAAATATTGTGTGAAACAATTTATCAGATGAGAAGACTTTACCTGACTGTCATGAAAGACAGCAATATTAATAACAGGAGCTATTCAACCTAAACAATACCATCCATGTGAAAAACCTGGGATTGCAGCACTTAAACTCCGTTTTATGTGGGAGTCCCACTCAGTGAGACACAAGTATGGGGGTCATCATGTAGATTTGGGAGAAGGCCAAATGTCCTACTTGCTCACGCTGAACAATCCAATCTAATAACACTGACTAACAAAAATGGGAAAAAGAGAAGCATTTAATATCCTTTCAAAAGAAAATATTAATTTCAGGTGGATATATCCTGAAGCAAATACTGTACCTCAATAAGACCCCTAAAACTATTCTCTAAAATAGAAATGCCTGTAATTTTATTGCACCACACCAAATTATTTCCTCCTAACTCAAGGCCTGGCTCCCAGTATGCCAGGAATGCACAGACCATCAAAAGAATGACTAGATTTTTTCACTTTGAAATCAGCTGACATTTTGACTCAAACTGGATGTTACCGGTTTCCAATCAGCTACTGGATAAACAGCTGTGGCCAAATGAGATTATTACCAAACTCTAATTAACACTTATAATATGCATTAAACTAAACTTTAGGTAGACACGAACACTGAAGATTGTGTCGTTCTCAATCAAAATACTGTACCTTAAACAGTGTTAAATAAATGGAAGTGTTGTACCTATATCCAAAGATGTTAGATGGAATGCACAGAGAGATTACTTATGCAGTGTGGCAAGGAATGAAATTAAACTGATGGCAGAATGGTATCACAGCCAACCTGAGGAGGAAGGTGAGATGTGCCCCAGCTGATGTGCTCATTGCAGTTTTCTCTCTAATTTTCTTGTTTATAGTCTCTCTTTCAGGATGATGTTTGTAAATGATGATACGAGTAATTGCCAGGTAAATCATAGCCACTAATGTCAGGCCTCTTGGATCTAAACAATAACTTTGTGAAAACATTATGAGACACAGTGATGAGCAACTGACCATAAAATATGACAACATGAGCAATCACAAATGTGATTGGAGAGAGTGAACATGAGCCATTAGAAGAGATACCACATATGAAATGCAGGTACAGAAACAATATACAGTAATATTGTACTATGAATAAAATAATTAATTTACTTCACATCATGGTCCGAGGAACACCAGTATGTAAGGGCTCCAGCTGCATCTGTAGGACCATCAATGCCGTCTGTGCCACCTGACAAAAAAATCACTTCTCCAACAAATTTTGTGTTCTGCAGTTTCTGAAAGAGAATTATAAAAAAAAATCATGAGTAAGTGGTAATCTTTGTTCACAATAAAACTTCATAACACTTAACAATCACTACGAAATCATAATAAAGTAACTACAGGGCGTCCTCGCTTAACGTCGGGTTACGTTCCTGAGCCTCCCTTTGCCCCATGAATAAAGTTACATATATAGAAAATCATTGCCATTTCTATAGAGAATACTATATAGAACTACAGTACTAAGTTTGTATTGATACTCACCGATGGGCGGAGGTGGTAGAGTGAGTGTGGTGGGTAGTGGAGTGAAGGAGGAGGATGGCGGGAGCGGAGGAGGGTGGCAAGTCACTGAGACTCTGCGCCTGTTTACTCCTCCTACTGCTCTGATTGGGGTTCCTCCGTCGCTGGTTGCTCCTCCTTCTATTGTTGTTTGCTCCTCCTCGGCTGCCAGCTGTTATGAAGTAGCTGCTTCTGCCATCCCGTGACGAAAAAATGAATCCAGTGTTGACTGCTTGGTGCTACTCATCTTCTCCTTATAGATCTCAGTGTAACAACCAAGACTATCCTCAATTCTGTGCTGAACCTTTGAGCTACGTTCTCTGTTTGGGTCGTCATCTAGAAGCATTTGCATTGCTTGCTGGAACATGTTCAATGATTCTGTCAACCTCTTTGAAGTTAGCGTTCGTTGAGGTTCATCTTCGTCGTCGTCTTCAATGAGACTGTGTTCTGTTAATTGTTGCAGATCTTCGTTGGTGAGCTCTTCTGTATGGAATGCCAGGACGTCCTCTGATTCAAGCTCATCAAAATCTGCCTGTCTAGCCAAGCTGAGGATATTCCTATTCACAGTCCATGAATCCTGTAAAACTGTTGACGCACTCAGGCCACAGTTTATGCCACACACCATTCAGGCAACTTTTTGAAACCTCTTCCCATGCTTTGCCAATGTTGCCAATTGCATGAAGAATGTTGAAGCTGTGCCAATATTCTCGGATCGTCGGTTTATTTTCTCTGTCTGTAGTCTTGAGCAGCTGGGCCGTGGTATGGAGTAAATAATAAGCCTTGACTGCGGCGATGACGCCTTGGTCCATAAGCTGCATCAGTGCTGTCATGTTGGGAGGCAGGAATACAACTTTTACACTGTCATGCAAGTCGTCGAGATCGGGAGGATGAGCTGTAACATTGTCAACGATCAAAAGAATTTTGAAGTTAAGGTTCTCCTTGGCACAGTATTCCTTCAGTGCAGGGACAGCGTACACGTTTAACCACTGGCTAAATATGGCGCCAGTTATCCATGCCTTTTTGTTTGCCTTGTAAATGACAGGAAGGTGATCCTTAAAGTAACCTTTCAGGGCCCGTGGGTTGGCAGCGCGAGAAATCAGCATAGGCTTCAGCTTGAAGTCACTGGCAGTGTTCGTGCCACGCAGCAGCATCAAGCGGTCTTTTGCTGCTTTAAAACCTGGCGCTCTTTTCTCCTCCTTGGAGATATAGGTCCTCTCAGGCGTCCTCTTCCAAAAGAGACCAGTCTCATCTACATTGAAGACTTGCTTCGGTGAGTAGCTACCTTGCTGGATAATCTGTTTGAATTCTGGCGGGAATGTCTCGGCAGCAACCATATCTGAACTGGCAGCTTCACTAATCATCTTAATATTGTGGAAGTTATAATAATGCTTAAATCATTGAAACCATCCTCGGCTGGCAATAAAAGATCTCTTCCATAGATCCTTCTCCCTCTTCTGCCTTTAAGTCATCAAACCGGGATCTGGCCTTATGCTGGATAACCATAAGGCTCACAGGGGCATTGCAGTGACTCTGGTCCTCCAACCACATTGCCAGTATCTTTTCCACCTTCTCTATCAGAGTGCTTCTAGTACGAGTCGTCTTAGTAGCACTCGGAGAAGAATCACTTCCAGCACTAATCGTAATCTTGTCAGCGTTGGTCCGGATAGTACGCACTGTTGTGGGGGTTAGACCAAGCACAATGGCTCCCAGCACCTTCCCCCTTTTCAAACCAGGTTAATACATCCATTTTCGTAGCAAGGGTAATAGTCTTACGTTGCCTCTTTACTACACTAGCATCAGTAGCACTTCATGGGCACTTGGAAGTCATTTCGAATGGTTAAGAGTACAATTTTAGAGCAAAAACATTTAAGCACGCACGGATGATGTGAAATCGTAACAGCGACTGGCTTGGCGTCGCTTGGGGACGCTGTGACAATCCATGAGTGAGGACAGTGCGCCGAGCCGAGAGAGCATATCGCGGCCAGACAGGAGCAGGTGAAGCGCCGTAGAAAGTAGTCTGTGACGAAACAAAACAGCATAGTATTGAATTTTTGGTCTCTTAAAGTTCAGTGACGTAGTACTGAAACAACGTTAAGCGTGGACTTACTGCACAGTAGACACTCACCAACTGTGAATTTTCCATCCGCAGATTCCGGGTATCCACGGTTTCTATTCTATACTATTTCACCTACCATGGCATTGAATTTCAAGTATCCACAGATTAGTGTGGCATCTTTATCCCTCCGCTGTCTAATGAATTCTTACACAAATGTAAAGAATTAATAAATACAGTCAACCCTCACTTTACGCGGTCCCACATTCCGCGTTTCCACGTTTACGCGGTGCCCTGCCAGAACCCAGGATGCTCACATTCCGCGGTGGGTGTACCCCTTTACACGGTGAAGTATAATTTTTTTATTTAGCTCATAAAATTCATACAAATTATCCGGCCAGAATATAATTTACATTGCTGGAATTCTTACAATTTGATGATCATTTTGAATATAAATATCATGGATTTTGCATTAGACATATAAATTTTAGATATAATGTTTACTCTTGAGTAAATATGTTATCTTTTGTGCAAAATATATGATATTTATATTCAAAATATTCCTGGTCTTACAAGGAATCCAGCAATGTCAATTATATTATCCTAACTTTAGTCTGATTTATTATTTATTACTAAAAAGGTAAACAGTCTGGTATTCCCACACATTTATCTAGTAGGGACGTTGGTGGGGGGTGGGGGGGAGGGAGGGAGGGACCGGCGACCGACCATCTGTTACCGTGTGAAGAATATTTTTTTTTTTATTAACTGAAGATTTTTATTTTAGCTCATAAAATTCATACAAATTACCCGGCCAGAATATAATTTACATTGCTGGAATTCTTACAATTTGGTGATCATTTTGAATATAAACATCATATATTTTGCATTAGACATAAAATTTTTAGATAAAATGTTCACTCTGAGTAAGTATGTTATCTTTTGTGCAAAATATATGACGTTTATATTCAAAATATTCCTGGTCTTACAAGGAATCCAGCAATGTCAATTATATTATCCTAACTTTAATCTGAGGTATTATTTAATACAAAATGTTAAAATTTATTTTTTTCACCCACTCTTTCTCTTGGTGGGGGGTGGGGAGGAGGGTTGGGACTGACCGCGCGGTTGGAAGAGGGGGGGAGGCAAGGTGGGGTACTTTGATTGACAGATAGTGTCGTGAAGAATATTTTTTTTTTATTAACTGAAGATATTTGTTTTAGCTCATAAAATTCATACAAATTATCCAGCCAGAATATAATTTACATTGCTGGAATTCTTACAATTTGGTGATCATTTTGAATATAAACATCATATATTTTGCATTAGACATACAAATTTTAGATAAAATTTTTAATCTGAGTAAATATGTTATCTTTTGTGAAAAATATATGACATTTATATTCAAAATATTCCTGGTCTTACAAGGAATCCAGCAATGTCAATTATATTATCCTAACTTTAGTTTGAGGTATTATTTATTACTATACCTGGTTTTCCCCCCAAAATTTCTCAGAGGGAAGAGCCAGCAGTGTAGTGTGAGAAGAGGGGGAGGGAGTCGTGTCCATTATTTGAATGGACATTAACTTGGCGACTGTATTTCTCTATTTCTCTTAAGTATTAATTGTGTGCATGTACCATCATAAAATTAAGATGTTATTTTTACTAGAACATAGGTATTGTGTTGGAAAAAGTGGAGTTTGGGGGTCAGCTGGTCTCTATTTCATTTAATCCCATATGTTATGTTATTCACTTTACGCGTTTCTCACTTTCCGCGGTACCCTGTGGGCTACATTAACCGCGTAAAGTGAGGATTGACTGTAAAAGAAAAGAAAAAATACAGCATGCCCTCCAAATTCGCAGGATTAGGTTCTCAAAATGACGGTGAATCGCCAAATCCATAAATAAAATTTGCTGACCAGGGTAGGGGGGGGCGATACATTTTTACTTGTGTACAAAGAAATGTATACAGTAATTCCGCGCTTAACGTCGTCCCGCTTAACGTTGTTTCCGTACTACGTCGCTAACCATTAGAGACCAAAAATTCGTTTAACGTCCCGGTGATCTGATACTACGCCGTTTTGTGTCGTCACGGACTACAGTGCATTACCCTCTCTCGTCTGGCCGTGCTATGCTCTCTCGGCTTGGCGCAGTCTCTGTGACTCACCACCCTCCTCCTCTCCCGCCCTCCTCCGCTCCCACCCTCCTCCTCTCCCGTCCTCCTCCGCTCCCACCCTCCTCCTCCGCTCCCACCCTCCTCCTTCGCTCCCGCCATACTCCTCTCCTCCCTTCATCTGCTTCATGACCCACCACACACTCACTCTACCACCTCCGCCCATCGGCGAGTACCAATACAAACTTAGTAGTTGTGTATGTATGCACTATTTTCCATAGAAATGGCAATGATTTTCTGTATATGCAATGTATTTCATGGGGCAAAGGGAGGCTCAGGAACGTAACTCCCTTATTTGATCTATTTCTTATGGGAAAATTGATCTGCTTCATGTTGCTTCATATAATGTCGCATTTTTAGAAACGTAAACCCGACGTTAAACGAGGACTTACTGTTTCACAGCTCAAGATTGAAGAAGCCGCAAGTCCAGAAAACCGTGAGGGCAAACTTTTTCGGAGTGAGGGTTGTAAACTCTTGGAACAATCTACCAGAGAGTGTTGTGACGGCACCGAGTG